CACACACTCACACACACACACACACACACACACACACACATATTATCCTTCTCCGGGATCAATAAAAGTGTAATTTATTTTCTATTAATTTATTATACTGCACAAAGGGGATATGGGTATACTAAACTTTTCACATTAAAGTGTGATCATTTCATGTTGTTCTCAGAAACTGCAATCTCTGGTTGGTCTTCAAAATGGAAAGCGTCTCACAGATCCTCTCCAAACTCCAGGTCTTCTGCGTCATCGTTGTTGCGATTCTCACGCCAGAAGCTGACGGAAAAATTTACGACCTGTCACATGTGCACTCATCAGACTTATTTTACTTTCCCGGGAGTTTGCCTTACAACCGGACCCATGTCATTGCCAGGGATATTAAACCTGGGATGTATGTGAACGCCGCTGTGATTACCAGTGGAGAACACGTTGGGACACACATGGACGCGCCAGCCCACTTTGTTAGAGGTTTGGTTTGACCCTTTTTGAGGTTTGATACTAAAAGTGCTTTTGTTTTTGTTTTAGAAGACGTTTTACGACGCTCGCAACTGCATACGGTCATATGAGCGCCAGAAGATTAGATGTGTTACAAGAGAGAAACAAACATAAAAAAGAAGGAGGGGGGATAAGGACGATAGATATTTGATAGGAAAAAAGCACCAAACCACACCGGAGCACCCGCCAACCACCCACACTAAAAGTGCTTTGACCCGTTACTTGAGTCTTTGACAGTTTGTTAAAGGTTTTATTCTTTTTGCTAAAGGATTAATATTTTGTTAGAAGTTTTGTTATTTATTTGAGATTTTGACATTAAAATTTTGCTTCAGAGCTTGTTTCTTTGTTAGGCTAGAGAGAATTGTCCCAGCAAATACTTGACTATAATCACGAAAATCTTAAGCATGTGTTCTGCATTCAATAACGAAGCGCGTAACCTCTAGACCTTCACCTCAGATGACGGCTCCACTGGAGCGGTCTTCCATAAGTTATCCTCTAAATACCTTAGCTTTATTTTTAGAAAAATCCAGAACAGTTTTCTTTTTTTTGTTGATCTTACTTTCAGATTTGTTTGTTGGTGTTTGTGCAGTCGATTTTAGATTTCCATTAATTCTTTAACGCACTTAGAGCATGGGAGGTTGACCTAAAGATCTAAACAGGGAACTTAACTCGCTAGTTTAATTAAAGAGATTTTCTTTTTATGTATGTGTGTGTGTGTGTGTGTGTGTGTGTGTGTGTGTGTGTGTGTGTGTGTGTGTGTGTGTGTGTGTGTGTGTGTGTGTGTGTGTGCTCATTAATTTTGTCTCATCTGAATTTCTGCCTATTTTTAGGATTACTTCAATTCCTAGAATGCTTACAGCGAAGTTTTATTCTTGTTTTTAGGTGGGGACCCTTTGGAGAAAGTTTCTGTGGAGAGAACAATAGCGGACGGGGTGCACATCAACTGTCGTGCAGAGGCTGCAGCACATAGAGATTACATGGTACCTATGCAGGTATGTGCCGGAGAGAGAAGGTAACACCGATCATCCTTAAGAGGGTGAAAGACTGTATAAACTGTCTATACAGTAGGCATTTGAGCCGAAAATACATGTATTATAATATATTATAATTATACTCAACTGGCCTCCGTACCACAATAAGCCGAAGACCCAGGAAGTTGTTTCACTAACAAGGCAATCCCCAATGTCCGGATCGGATGTGGGAACAACTTTACTTTACTCAACTCCATTAAAGAGCGGGGGGGGGGGGGGGGGCTACACCCCGAAAGTCCTCAGTCGGCTCAAAATTATGGATTTTTAGTTGTAGACATTATTATCTTCTTTAGCTGTTCTTACAACTACAGGGTACCAAATTACAACATTCTAGTACTAGTCAACAACAAAAAACCTGTACAACTTTTTTCTGAATATCTCGCGCAAAACGTGTGCTAGAATGCTGTAATTTGGAACAGATATAATTCATTCAAAAGGAATTTGCTTGACATGAAATTCAGAAAGAAGAAACTCATGCAACAATTTAAAAGATCTTGTAAGAAAGTCATAAAACGATTGGTTTGTTATTTCCTTTCCCTTTATTTTTAAAATCAAAATCTTTCCATCCCTGTAACCTTAAAAACAATATTTCTTTTCTCCTACAGAGGTAATACTAAAGATCTGTCTGTTGAATTATTGATATATGGAATAGATTTTTGTTGGTGGTGTCTGGAGTGTGGATTTTCACGGATTTTTCGCAAACTTGAATGCTACCTCAGGAAAAAATTCATTACAAATTTTCTAATTCGATTAGGAAAAAAACAACAAAGACATTTTTAGATCTAATGTTTGTGAACACGCATGCAAAAAAACAATCAATTTCCATGAGCGGTAAGTGCGGTATTCATTACGTAAGACATGTCAATAAAATCCAATATGGCGTCGTATCCATGGAAACGAAACTTTTTTTCTCAAATTTGATTGCGGATTTTAAGACTCCTTACTATGCTTGTTATATGTGTGAAATTTGGTAAAATTCGGTCCAGTAATAAGCGAGATAGCCTCCAGGTGTAACCCCCCCCCCCCCCTTAAAAAACATATTTTGTAAGTTCTAAAATTTCGAGAACCAAAAGTCTATATGTCCTCCTTTGGACTCGACACAATTTAACACAACGTTCATAATGTTCAGTGAAGGCCAAACACATGGATCCACTCAACCATGAGTACTCAAATCCACACAAACTGTACACCTTACAGTATCGAGCTGTTTCTAGTGACAATAGGGGAAGGGGGGTGAGGTTGCCCATATAGACAGTATTTGTGGAGTTGATATAACCTGAAAGGTGAATATGGGCTTTGCCACGGAACCAAATGTCATAGAAGAAATGTTCACGCTTTTCAAGACGATCGAGAAATCATGAACACATTGCTATCCTCTGAAAGCTTCGTGAACGGGAAAATGGGACAGTCGTAGATGAAGAACTACCTTGAGGAATGTGGACCGTTGAGATGTAGGAAGTCATTGGTGCGGTATTCATTATGTAGTTGTTGTTTTCAAATCCCTTTAGCTGCGAGCATTTCGCTCTTGGCAGCGCAATGCCTCCCTCAAGTAACCACATGTCCTTGTCATCTGGTCAACGCCAGAGTACAGCAGGCTTTGTAAGTCTGTAGGTAAGTGTAGGAGCTTGCGTCGAAGAACTGCCAGGTTTGGGCAGGGAAGGAGAAGATGTTCAACGGTCTCCTCGTGGTAGTCACAGTGTCTGAAATGGGGTTCCCACATGGGGTTGATTCTGTTTATGTGCTTGTTGGTGTGTAAGTGGCCTGTGCGGGCGCTGAAGATCAATGTCTGATCGGCTCTACATAAAAGATTCGAAGGGTCTTTGGGGTTGGGTTTGTCCATGTACCCGAAGAGAGATCTTCCTGTTTCTGCGTTGGCCCATCTGTTTAGCCACTCGTCTCTGCTTTTGGCTTGGATGATCCCTCTGCAGGTCTGTAAAGAGGCGGTTGTGTCTGTCTGGGGCAGGCTTGCTCTAGTCTTCGATAGATGGTCTGCAGTCTCATTCCCTGATACTCCAGAATGGCCAGGCACCCACTGCAGTGTGACCCTGACGCCATAGGAAGTGCCCATCTGTTTTACAAGGCTGAGGATGTTCTCGTCACCTCTGTAGTCTCCTCCTCCTTCGACGGCTTGGAGTACTGACATTGAGTCAGAGAAGACAACAACATCCCCTGATGTTACTGCGCCTTCAAAAAAGTCTTGGGCGATCTGTTCCAAGGTCTTTACTATGGCGATTCTCTCTGTATCATAGTTAGAGCTGTATGTTCCACATTGGCCAAATAGTTGGGTCTGCTTCTTCTCTCCAAGGTTGTTTCGATATTTGATGGTAGATCCGTATCCAGCATTCCGTGTAGCGTTTGTTGCTGACCCATCTGTGTATGCATGGATTGGAGTTTCAGCATACGAGTCCACTGTCTCCAGGACGCTAGTTCTGAGGATTTCTTCAGGTGTGGTCTTGTCACAAGAAGGGTCTAGAAGTCTCGTCCTTATTGTGATTTCTGGTGTCTGCCAATATGGAGGTTCGCTGCTGATGTTGGTGATTGGTTCTCTGTTCTTGGGTAGGTCAAACTCCTCAAGTAGTTTTGTTGCTTCTCGCATAAAGGAGGTCTTCTGGATGCGTGTTTTTGGTTCCCACTCATCTGCCATTTTCTTGTTTTCGTTCGTGTCTTCTAGCCGCGCAAATCTTTCATAGGTTTCGAGTGTAGCACTCTTTCTTCTGAGGTCCAGCGGTTCTATGTTGGTGTGGATTTCGCAGGCGCTTGTAGGCGTGGTCTTCATCGCGCCATAAACAAATCTGAGTGCTTGGTTCTGTACTCTGTCAAGCTGTGCCAGGGAGCTTTGGCTGGCTATGGATTGAAGTGGTAGGGAGTAGTCAATCACAGATCTGACATACCCTATATAAAGTTGTCGGAGAGTTGCTTTGTCAGCTCCCCAGTTGAGTGATGAAAGGTGTTTCAGAAGGTTTAGTCTGGAGGTGGCTTTCTTGGTCAGCCCCCCTAAGTGCTCTTTGAGAGACAGCTTTCGGTCCAGTTGTACACCAAGGTACTTGGGATAGTCCTCATGTCTGATGGTGGTTCCATTGATCTTAAGGTTTACCTGACTTGCTGTAACTTTGTTTATGAGGCTGAAGAGTCCAAAAACAGTCTTGTCTGTGTTGATCTCCATCTTCCATAGCTGGCAGTAGGACGAGATAGTAGTCAGGTCTGCGTTGATGGCTTGGTTCAGTGCTCTCATGTCACTTCCTTTGCTCCATATGAGCAAGTCGTCAGCGTAAAGTGCTTTCTGACAGGAGATGACATCTGGCAAGTCGTTCATGAACAACAGGAAGAGGGTACAGCTGAGTGCTGACCCCTGTGGGAGGCCTTCCTCAAATGTCCTCTGTGAAGAAACCTTGCTGTCACATGACGTCTTGATAGTTCTGCAAGACAGAAAGTTCTTGATCCAGCTGTACATCCTTCCTACTATCCCAAGCTTTTGCATTTTGTAGAACAGTCCCTGTCTCCACACACGGTCATACGCCTGCCTCAGGTCGATGAAGAAGGCCACAACATTGTCTTTATCTTGAAAGGCATCGCTGGTCTTCTGGGCAAATCTGATGAGGTGGTCCATAGTTCTTTTGCCTTTCCTAAATCCTGCCTGTGAAGTGCTGATTGTTCCGGTGCTTTCCATTCACCAGTACAGTCTGTCGTTGACCATTCTCTCGATGACCTTACCCAGGCATGATGTTAAAGAGATTGGTCTGTAGCTTGAAGGCTGGCTTGATGGTTTGTCCTTCTTTAATATCGGTGTGATGTTTGCTTTCTTCCATTCTGTTGGGAGCTGTCCCTCATTCCAGGTCCTGGTGTAGAAGCCCAGGAGTATGGAGAGGGAAGAGTCTGTCAGGTTGAGGATCATCTCATTGGTGACTTGGTGTGGTGCTGGGGCCTTTCTCTTTTTACACTTTTTGAGGGCTGCCTTCAATTCCGTCGGAGTAAACTCCTTCTCAAACACCTCCAGGTTTGTCTTGGGGGTCTGTTCTACCCTTTTGGTCAGCTGCTTTATTGCATGGCTCAGTTTGTTCTGGTTTCCTTTCTTGTTGATGCTAGCAAAGTATTTATTCATAACCTCAGCTCTGCATGTTTCTCCTTTCTCAGTTGGTTTCATTGGGGCGGGGTTTTTCCTTCTTTTTGTACCTGAGAGATTGGTAAGCAGGTTCCAGGCTTTCCTCCCGTCCTTACGCAGGTCTAGTTCTCCACAGTGTTCTCTCCATGTTTGTCTTTTTGCACTTTTGGTCTTCAGCTTTACCTTGGCAGTCAGCTAGTTATAGTGCTTTCTGTTTTCGGCCGTTGGGTTCTTCTCAGCACGCCGTCTAGCTTTCTTTCTGGCCTTGGTCAGTTGTTCCAGTTCTTTGTCCCAATAAGGGCGAAACTTCTTAGGGTTCCCTCTTGGAATCGCTTCCTTAGCAGATGTCTTTAGTGCTGAGGTGATGTCCTTGTAGCACTCATCAATTAGGTTGGTCGTGCATACATCCAGGAGTCTACTTTCAGATTTCTGTTGGTAGAGTTCCCAGTTTGCTTTCTTGTAGTTCCAACTGCGTCTTATGGGGTTGGTCGGTTCTCGTTTCCTGTGGCTGGATATTTGCAGTAGGATTGGGCGGTGGTCACTTCCTATGTCATCTAGGACAGTCATGGAGCAGTGCGGGTGAAGGTCAGCGGAGACCAACGTCAAGTCTGGTCTGCTGAGAGTTCCGCTGGCTCTATGAAGTAGGGTGAGATGTGTCTTGTCATTCTGAAGTGAAATGAGGTTGCTGGATCTCAGTAGTTCTTCTAGAACTGTTCCTGTCGTGTCTGTATCACTGTAACCCCACAGTGGAGAGTGTCCATAGAAATATCCCGCAAGAATGGTATGTTTATGGTCTGTATTCGGGAAATTGAGCTGGAGAGTAGATCTCGGCGGGAAGTATACATTGTAGAAGGTGTAGGTTGTTCCATCCGACTGCTGCACATTCACTTCCTGCATGTCAGTCTCGTCATCGGTTTCTGGGTGAGAAACCTCAGCAGTGATGTCATTACGAATGAGGGTTGCGATACCTTGACATTTGGTGCACTTGTAGTGGTACATTGTGTAGCCTGTCAAATGGAGCTCTATCCGCTTGGGTAGTTGGGTTTCCTGTAGCAGGGCTACATGAATTCTTAAGTCTGACAGTGTCTTTGCAAGCTCCATTTTCTTGTTCTGTATAGATGAAATGTTCAGTTGGAGTATATTCAATGTCTGTGTGTCTGTAGGTTGGGGGGTCTGTAGTGTCTGTGTGTTGCTTGTGGCCCCTATACCTGTAGTGTGGGTCCCAGTAGCTGACTTGTCACTCCCGCCCTCGGGTGAAGGCAGAGAGCGCGGACCTTGATAACCGAGGTGACATCCGAGCTCGTATAGTTTCATTTGTCGTAAAGGCATTTTATTGGTTAGGGGGTTGTGAAGGCTTGTATGAAACCCTGTAGGATCTCAGGTAGGTGGGAGTCTTGTCCTGACACTGGCTTGTACCCAAACATCTTGCCACAAGAGAACAAAGGTGCAATGTTCACTGTCCTGTTTTCCATCAATCTTCACGGGGATTTCTTAGACAGCAGACAACCATAGGGGGTGTAGGCGCACTCTAGTTCTGGGAGATGGGAGCCACAAAGTGCAACCAATGACAAGTGATCATCTGAGCAGTCCAGTAAGGGGTCCTATTGAGTAAGGGGTAACGCGTTTCTTCCACAGTGAGTCGTCTGCAACACCAAGCATAGCTTGCGTTTGCCCAATCCCTGCCACCTGCTGTCTCCTGGCTATCTGCTATTAATATTTCCGTTCATGGGGCAGAGGGGTGGCCAAATCTACTCAGACAGAGGATGGTCACGTCATGGGTCAGCGAGCATTTGCCAGGATATCTGCAGGGATGTCATCTGTTTCCAGGCAGCCTATTCCTTACAGCTACAAGGCCTTCTGGGTCCGCGGAGACATCTCACGGTGAGTCATCTGGCAGTCTGTGGGTACCATGCCCCGTCTGTAGAGCGAGAGGGAGGGAAGAAGATGTCAACAGTGAGTTCCTGAATGAACAGGTTGGCCTGCTGGGACGCCAGACCTACCATAATGGTGGAAGTGTATGAACCCTTCTACGAGCCGAAGGGTCGTTGCTCACTTCGCACCTCACAGGGCTATGGTACCTCCTGGCCAGAGCTCCGTCTGCAACCCCTACTCCTATGCACAGAGCAAGGGTCCCCAGGACGGGGGGTTGACGTGGTTGAGGTTGGCTTGCCAAAGAGCGTCTGGGGTTTCACCCTCAACCCTTACAGCCATGTTGACGTGTCAACAAAATTCAAAATGGCCGCCGTATCCATGGAAGCCAAACTTTTTTCTCAATTTGATTGCGGATTTTAAGACTCCTTACCATGTTTGTTATGTATTTGAAAGTTGGTAAAATTTGATCTACTAATAAGCGAGATAACCTTCAGGCGTACCCCCTCCCACTAAAAACACCTCACTTAATCATATCTGTACGTCGTGTTTTACAAACGTATCCATACAACGCTTACCAAAGAGGAAATTTACTCGTTAATCCGATCCGTACGCTTTGCATAGTAGTCTGTCAAAATGATTTTTGGAGAAATAATGAAGGTTTCAAAGAGATCTTAGCACTAGAAGTATTCTAAAATGTGAAGAATACAACCCCTGGGGTACAAAATGACCCCAGGTGTACGGATTGGGTGGAATGAAAACTATGACTGCGGTTAATACATGCGTTTGCACAGCAGTGTAGCCTAATGACTTACAGTATTACCAAGAAATATTGAACAAAAGATATGGTCTGAATTCAAGTATGGCAGCCTCGTGCTGCAATGGTGGCGGGTATTCGACGCTGCATAGACCGAGCAGGACTTGAAATGGTTCTCTATGGTATGTCGTTCCATTCTGCGGTCAGTGCATCACGAAGTTTTTGTACATTGGCGATCCGATAGCTAGTGTATGCTACACCCTGCACTCTAGTTCGTACCACAAAGGTCCACTGGACTCAAGTCGGCTGAATAAGGAGGCCATTGCATGCGATTAAATCGCTGTGTATTTAGTTACGCTGCACTGACACGCGCAACATGGGGTCTGGATTCATACTAAAAGTATGAACGTGTGAGCGTTTCCAGAAAGAGAGGCAACGTGAGCATGCAACACGTCCTGGCTATACGTCAAAGCGTTGACAGTTTCATCGAAAACATGCGGAGGTGTCCTGAGGTCGGAGCTATTCCAGCCAAAAATAGTTAGTCTTCCTGCTCCCCACATGACTCTCTGAGCAACAAAACAGTCGGCCTACCGATCCCTGCTGAGTCGCCAAACTCTTTTTCTTCCATCATAATGACTTACGGAGAATCTAGACTCGCCAGGTGCGCGCTCATACGACCTTACGCAATTGTGAGCGCCGTAAAACTCTTGCTATGAAACTGAAAGACTCGTCAGGAAACATAACTCTGTCACAGCCTCTGGGCGTCCATTTTGAGTGCTGGTTGTACCAGTCTTAACGGGTGTGTCGGTGTGCAGCATTAAGCACATAGCCTTCCTAGGGTCTACGTTTTCTTAAACCTGCTTCTGTCAGTTGGAGCCAATGGTGGCAGCACTTACTGTACCTCTAGTTCCCTGTTCTTGTTTAGTTTATGCTTATAATGATTAATTTTGAAACCTTTACGTTCTCTGTGTTCCTAGATTCCTAGATATTGCCGTATCCCCTATAACGACCAGCACTATCGTGTACGTAACATCCTCTTTGTTCTTAGGCATTGTTCAATCTATGTAAACAATGTTTTCGAATTGCTGTATATATGTGTATGTATGGTACTTGCCTAGGTCACCTTATTTCACACTAATAAAGTAGACACACTGATAAAAAAGTGACCTTATTATATTAAAGTGGCAGAGTTTTTCGACTATGGTGCCTGACCTTTCCCAAGTTCGCTTAAGACCCACAAAACAGTGCTTCGCCTTTCCTCGACATTCTCTCGGTTTTCTGGCTCACTTTGGAAATAGTCTGGTGACCCCTGCCTTACCCTCTTTGTGCCGGGACACTATTGGCTGGGTCGGTCCATTCTAGCAGAAAGATGAAGACCCGGATAGGATATCTTTCTTTCGTACTGTCACTACTATTAGTACTGCAACTGTTACTACCACTACCATTGTTGCTTCTCCTCGTTTCCACAGAAAATTCTTGACTGGGAAAAGGAAAATGGGCGTATCCCGGACGGAGCGGCGGTCCTTTTCAACTTCGGCTGGTCTCTTCGCTTTAACAACATCACAGACTATGCAGGCTCAGACCAACTGGACGACCAGTTTACCTTTGTCCAGCCTGCCGTGACCGCTGAAGTTGGACAGTGGCTACTTCGTGAGAGGAAGATGAAAATCATTGGAGTTGACACCTTTTCTCCGGATCCCTCACTTTTAAACGGAACAGCAGTAACCGAAATGCCCAACCATCACAATATATTGGGAGCAGGGAGTTTGATTGTAGAGAATATGAAGGTATGGCATGGAGTGGTACAATGTACTTAATGTTATGGCTTTAACGCCCCGTTTGACATTATATTATGGTTGTTTATGTGACGATGTCTCCGAATGTTTAGTCCATTTCCGATAGGACAGTGCCAATCAAATAGAAAGAAATGAATAGTTTGCATATATACAATTTCATTAGGTACTCGATATTGGTTATCCGTACAATAGCCCGGTTGTGCTGAACAGGTGCAGTACATTTTATAACCAACTGTTACTATAATATAGTGGGGTAAAAAATTCGTGGTGCGACTTATTCGCAAATATCTTTTTAACGGGTGATCAGTGTAACGTATTTTAGGCACTTCGCACAGCAGTTTGTATCAACATGTCTTAGATCTTGCTTAGATCTAATCGTATTTTTCCACAACAATTGAGGCTAGACTAAATAAACATTTTTTTCATAAGAGATCATAAAATACTACAAACCTCCGCCACTTGGAAAATGGGAGTGTTCCAAAGAGGAGGGTTCACAGCACTTCCCGCTTCTCACAAACATTTTGCATATATGTATATATGGCCTACATCACAGCTTACCAGTGACCCTTTTAGTGGTAAAGCTTTAGGCCACGCATAATCACGATCTCCTGATAAATGACAAGTGTTTTCTCATTTGTTCCCCACTGAGTCCCTGCAGGTTTTCTCATGATGTTAAGCCTCCTCCTGGCTTTAGTTTCTGCATTCTGAATGTGTTGTTTCCATGTGAGACGCTTGTCAAGGATTATTCGAAGATACTACTGTTGACACTCAAACCTTGGGGGGGGGGGTCTTGCCCAATGTGAGTTTTTTTGGCTCAGCTTGGCTAAAGAGTGAAGAGTGTAGCAGAAGATTGTTCTTTGTTTACGGTTACACACCAGGTTTTTGTCCATGTAGTGAGTTTGTCCAATGTTAATTGCATGCAATATGTGGCAGTGGTGACGATTTCCTCAAAGCACCAAAGAGCTAGGTTGTCTGCATACAATACGGCATGTATTCCTTTGGGTAGTTCTTTCATGAGTTCATTGATGAAGAGGACAAAGAGTAAAGATTCCATCTTAGGGTACTCCTTGTTGCAGCAACATTTTCTGTCCTTGATATTCACCCACCAATACACGGGCTCTACGGTTGTGTAGATGGGATTTGGTCCATAGGTACAAGTTGCCTTGAATACCACTTCTTATGAGCTTGACTTGTAGACCCTCCTTCCAAACCTTGTCAAATGCTTTTTGTAGAACAATAAACGTTGCTAGCATCCCTTTCTGTGTCTGGAGGGAGTCCTCTATAACGTGGGTGGAACAAATGAGTTGTCTGGTCCTCTGGGCTCCTGAACTGATGTAATCCAGCTTGTTCTGATACTGGGATACGTTGTGCCTCTAGGAACCACTGCATTCTGCAAGTTATGATGCACTCCATTGTCTTACATACACAACTTGTGAGGCTGATAGGTCTATAGCTTAATTGCCGTGGCTTACTTTTTCCTGGCTCGAGGATCGGGATCATCGTTTCTTCTTTCCAGCCCATTTTTCTAGATTAAGTTGAAAATATCCAGCATGGTCTGTAAGGGTGTGTTGCTCAGGTGTTGTAGCATTTCATTTGTAATTCCATCGCGGCTTGGTGATTTCCTCTGCTAGAGTTCATTTATTGCTGTCTTCAGTTCTTCCAAGGTGATAACCTTCTTCTTTGCTTCCGGGATGCTTCTTTCCCTTTTCCCCTCTTGTCTGACTTCTTTTTGCCTCTCTCTCTCTTGGTATTCTGGTGTTGCTTTCTTGAGCATGTGCCTTTATAAAGGTTTGTGCTGCCCTTTTCTCCATTTTCATCTCTCCATCAACTTCTTTTATTCCCGTCGTCGTTTAGCCCTTTCACAAGCCTCTATAGTTTGTGTGTCCTTTTCCAAGTTGTGTTTGTGTGTTTTGCCTCTCCAGCCTTTCCTGGTGCACTCCAATTTGGTTTTGAGATAATGGGCTTTACACCTCTGTAGCTTTTTGTTGTCTTCTATCGTTTTCTGGAGTTCTGGTGTCCAGCATGGCATTTTTCCTTACTCCTGTAGGTATGTTTTCTTTTGTTGACTTAAGGCTGCTTTCATTGAACTCTGTTATGGCATTGTAATATATTTTCTTATTGTCGAGGACGGCGATGTAGTTCCATCTCGGTCTTTTCGGGCTGTCCTAAGGTAGGTTCTCTAGAATGGTAAGAAGGAGAGGGCGATGGTCACTTCCCCAACCTGGGTTTCCAATAGTATAATAGACTCCGTTGCCCCCAAAACCCGTGGTATACACACACAATATCATCACCATCATCATCAGCATCATCATCAACAACAACAAAAACAACAATAATAATAATAATAATAATAATAATAATAATAATAATAATAATAATAATAATAATAACAACAACAACAACAACAACAACAACAACAGCAACGAAGGGTGGCCATTAAAGGCTCCTCTGTCTAGAATTGTGTCTAGTTTGGAGTCGAACCACGTTATTTGAAATAAACATTTAAAAACCATTTCGCCCCCTCTCTCTCTCTCTCTGTAGATTCCAGCAGACCTTCCTGCACGTGGCTTTCGATTCCACGCCACACCAGTCATGTTCGAGGGCTCCGGTGGTACTCAAGTGCGGGCCTTTGCCATGACGTACGACCCAAAGTCATGCCCAGATGCCGCCAGTGTCCTGTCTCCCCAGCACCCACTCATCATGCTTGCTGCTTATTGTTGCCTTTCTACGCTTTTTCTACGCTTGCTTTCTGGGTGACTCAGCGTATGCGAAGAATGAATGAATCTCTGAACTGAAAAGGGTTCGGACGCCACATGACATAATCCAGCACTCAAGGATGATTTATATTTAGATACCCTATTAGATTAGATGTATTTGAATTTCATCACGTGCGTTGGCTAGAGTTTGGTTGACAAGTACTGATATAAAATAGTCCGAAAAATATTTTTAGAAAGTGAACTATCTTGTATGATTAATCTATAATGCCCCACTTTATGGAAACAATACTGAAGTGTAATCATAGAGGCATACAGTCTTGTGAATTTCTGCTATGGTACTGTCCCGTTTCTCTATCATTATCAAAATCGTGTTTTCATTTTTCCCATGATCTTTCTGGTATTTTGTCATTATCTGTATATACTTGTATATCTGTTGATAGTCATAATATATAGTCATAAGTGGGCATGGCTCGATTGTGTCGGCCGTCTGCTGCTTCAATTTAACCAAAAACTACTGGGCAAAGGAAGAAACAGATGAGCTAATAATTGTAGATAGCATAATATTATAGCTCAAGTTTTCACCCAGCAGCATGTTCTGTGTGCATTGCAATTGTTATTATTACCCAAGCAGACCCGATAGCATTCTGAAACAATCTGAGTTTCCTGTGAAGCATACAGTGCAAGCTGCCATTTAAAGGCGCTAAAGAAACTAACATACTGACAAGATCTTTCGCTGTCTATGTCCGGGTATCAATTTACACCTTGGTAAAGAGAGAAAAATTGGGAAAAGTGCTTTTCCCAAAGACACAAGTCAAACCTGAGGCTCATCCTCTGAACCTGCAACCTCAAGATTCCGAGTCTGGTAGCTTAACCTCACGACTACCGACAATGTTAGCTTTGTTTGTGAATAGAATATGGGTCATTTAAGCGACGACATATATATATATATATATATATATAATATATATATATATATATATATATATATATATATATAAATGAATAAATAAGTGAATAAATAAATAAATAGATAGATAGATAGATTAATTAATTAAAATGCCTTCCTTTGTCATCATTTATGAAATAAGGAAACTGGGATATTGTAAAAGTAAAGTTGTTCCCGCATCCGATCCGGACATTGGGGATAGCCTTGTAAGTGAGACAACTTCCTGGGCCTTCGGCATACTGTGGTAGGGTGGCCAGTTAGTGATATTGTATGTAAGTTTTGAAAAAACAAAACATGTGGGGACAAAGCACAGCAAATCAATTTAGCGACAGGAAAATCGTTTGGAGAGGAAAATAGGGGAGGGAGTGTGACGGGGTTTCACGAAGAGGAAGATGTACTAGTCTTCGAGCAATGCCAAATGGCAATGGTATAACTTGTTCACTTTCATCTCAGTGCGCTTAAAGGAACGGCGAAAATAAATCGCTCTGTTTAATGTTCTCACTTCTTTGCATATGGGTCTAAAAGTTGGATGACTGAAGATCACTGCTAACTGAGTTCTGAAAATTTTTCTTTGATGTTGACCTTAAGCGGGTCAAAAAATTATAGGAGAATTACTGCATACATCTATAACGAAAACATTAAAAAGTGAAAAGATTTTTATCAACACCACACTTTTACCCATGCTTATGAAAAAACGTCTATAATGATTACGGAAGGGTACATTTTGAGACTCACGTGCACATAATATGTCTAGATATCGCTTGAGATGATAGCAACAAGCTGACAATGAAATGGAGGGCAATTTGTAGGCTCAATCACTGTTAATCGTTGTCGTTTTTTATTGATCCTGTGCATGCATCCTAAGGGCGGTTTTAATATATGGCCCAAATAAAGGTTTATTTTAAAAATACCTGATCAAGATTTTTTTTAAAATCTATTTTTGGTCGCTGGCCTGCAGAAGCGCCATTCATATTTCCATGCCTATGGGTAACCTGGTCGCTTTTAAGCACAAGGGGTGGGGTTTTTTTTCAATAAATCTTTATTTGGGCCATAATATTAAAACCGCCTTTTGGGTGCCTGCACAGGATCACTACAAAAAACGATTAACAGTGATTGAGCCAACAAATTGCCCTCCAGTTCATTGTAAGCTTGTTGATGGGTAAATTGGTCGCTTTTAAGCACAAGGGGGTATCCCGAAAAAAATGCTGTTTTGAGAAAATTGAAGGTAAAGTTTTTGAACCGTTATTCAGTTTCTTTAAAAGACAAGGAGAGTTTTCTCTATAAGCAAACAAATATACACACCAACGAAACCAAACTTCTCCTATAGGTAGGGCAATGTCCACTTTTGGTGTAGGTTAAGATTTCTGGAAACCCCTGAAATATGGGTTAGGCTGCTTGTCCTTAAAAGCGACTAATTAATAAATAAAGTAGGGTATTTTTTAAAACTTGGACAGACGAAAGTGAACAAGCTGTAGTCACAAATGAGTCTCCTTGAACACTCACACATACTCTCTCTCTCTCTCTCTCTCTCTCTCTCTCTCTCTCTCTCTCTCTCTCTCTCTCTCATAATCAACTAAACAACAGACGCACTGTGTCCCCTTGTGCGAGGAAGAAGCTCAGGACCTGGCACACTGGTTCCAGAGATGCCCAGGCGCTAAAACACAACAACTAACATGCTAACATGCTGACAATATCTTTCTTTTTTTTTTGGCCTATCCCCGAAAACAAAACAAAAAAACGTTCTTTCCACCAGGTTCACGGCCGTATATACCACGGAGCAAAAGAAAGCCGAAATCCTATTTACCTTTCTAATGAGGTCGTGTTGTTTGTTTTACCTTTTATTTCAAAACGGGGGAACTTAACCCTATCCGTACGTCGTGTTTTACTATCGTATCCATACGACGTGGGGAACTCTGTGCCACCACTTTCAAAGAGGAAATTTACTCTTTAACCCTATCCGTACGCTTTGTATAGCAGTCTGTTAAAATGATTTTTTGAGAAATACTGAAAGCTTCAAAGAGATTTTCATACTAGAAGTATTCTAAAATGTGAAGAATACAACGCCTTGGGTACAAAATGACCCCAGAGTGTACGGATAGGGTTAAACACAGTTCCTAGCACTATGAAAGGATACGTAGGGTATCATTGAGAACATTAAATTTTAACGGGATATATTTTCAACTTCCGGTTAATACACTAAAATGCTCAGTAGCGGGTATGGCCACCATTAGATCGGGTAAACGCAATACATCTCCAGTACATGGAAGCCACTGGGTTGTTGGTGACACGTAACGGAATCTGCCTCCAGTTCCTGGACGGTTCTCGGCCTTAGTTTTCTTCCCCCTATGCGCCGTTTAATTTCGTCCCAAATATGCCAAACTGGGTTTAAATCCGGACTAAGGGCAGCGCGAGGCTAAAGTGAGGCTGCAGAGTGGTGCCATGGCGTGGGAGAAAATCCTATGTAGCACGGGCAGTAACTTCCTGGAGGCGGAAGTTAAAATTTTGCTTGTCTAGAGGTAACACATGGGGCCTAAGAGCTTTTGCCATTTAGCAGGCAGCATTGACACCTTGACCTCGACCAAGGCCTTGATTTTGGAAGATAACTGGTCCTACCTTGTATACGATGCCCTCCCCCCCCCCCCCCCCCCCCAAGTGATTCCTCTCTATGGCTCACTTTTCACGAAAACGAAAGCCTCTCTCTTGGTAAACTGAGGCGCCGATTTGTTGTATCTACGAAGAACAGGCATTCGTCCGATAAGACAACCGAAGACCAGTCTTTCAGACGCCATTTGACATTGTGCCCAGCCCAGTTGACACGTTCCTGGCGATGGTGTGCGGTCAAGACTGGACCATAGTAAGGTTGATGGTGTCAAAGGCCTACCTGGTGCAATAGTTGGTTCACCGTGTGTCAACGTATGGCTCTTCTTTGGATACCTCTTATCAAATCTGACATTCTTGTAGCTGTCTTAAAGTCGATTTGCACGGTGCATCCGGAAAGTGTGTAAAACTGCACCTTCGTCGGTCACTCTATGTCAACTTGACCTTTGTCGGTCCGCCATAGAATTTGTGAGCTGAAAACGAGTTATCAGTATGTGAATGGTCGAGATGTGAGCAACAAAATGGTTGGCAACCACAATCAGCCTTTCTCCATATTATTATTCCAAGCGGCCAATTGTTCTTTCGCTCTGCACAGCCCTTACACGTGGCCTTGTCGTTGCAACTGCAGATGTACAGACCAAGCCGATTGTTTACCATGAGTATTATAACTGACATCAGGTGAGCACTTTTCACCCGTTGTCCACTCATTAATAAACCGTGTTTCAAAGACCCCACATGGCTTTTTCCGTGTTTCAATTAAGCGGCAATAGCCTAACTCTAATTTTCGGTAACAAGCAAAACAGACGATTTCTGGTTTCCAAAAAGCGTATGACTTACTATCAACAATGATGTAAATTCGGTTTTCTACCGTTGGTTGTTATTAAATTTTATGGCAAATATATGGTTTCGCTTTTCTTTTGCTCGTTAAATATGTGAGACCCCGAGACGTGTCAGGACTCCGTTGTGTTTCCATTTTCCGGTTGCTCTCTGTGGCGTGTCCTTTTTCCTCCTTTGCAGGCTTTTATGTGCTCGTTCACTTGGGGTGCATTTTTAAAAAAATCTAATCACCATTCAAAATGACAGTGGTATATAATGCACCGATCATTCATTTCACCGAATGGGGGCCCAGCTAGTAGGCCTACTCGATAAAAGTGTTGCCCACACGGGAATCCAACCATTGCCAATGACTGTGGAAATGCAGTTGGTGATATGAAATCGGCATATCGACCCAGTGCCAGATCTGCGACAGACATCGGCGATCATGGTTTTCCATTCATTACTTTGTTCGGATGCTCTAAAAAAAGCTACGTTTCCCTGATCTTTCCTTGTTACCCATTTGTTTAGGTTCCCTAAGTATGTTGTTCTGGGCCTACCCCTGCCTCGCTTGCCTTCAATTTTGCCAGTGAGAGCCAGATGGGTTACGTACTAAGAAATGCAGAGATTCTATAGGCTGTAAGTACGACAAGGAAAAGAGCAAAGAGTGGATATGGGGCTCTCGTGGCCTAGAGGTTAAGGTGTTGGCCTCTCATTCAAAGGTCCCGGGTTCGAATCCGGGTAGCGACCAAAAATTTTTCTTCTCTAAAATTGTCTCCTTTCACCTCCTTCCCTGCTCTCTAGCAATGTTCTGTTGTCTGCTTTCATTTCCACTTTCTGCCCCCACCCCCTCACCTCCTTTGCCCCCTCCTATGGGCTCCTGACTCTTTCTGCAGCCTTTCTACTGCTACTCCTTGGCCCCTCCTTACTACTGTCTTTCTGCCACACCCCTGATCTTCTGGTAGGAAAGATCTACACCTAGCCTTCTCGGACAAGGGCGAAAAATCTCGGAGGGCCCGTGTGCAAGTTGCGCACGTTAAAGATCCCTTGGTGGTCTAAAATCGATAAGAGTAGGCTTCGGCCGCCACCCGGGCAAAATTCAAAATTTCCTACCAACTGAAAATATTAGGTGTGTCCCGCGCGCTCATATGACCTATGCAGTTGCGAGCGCCGTATAACACTTTACAAAAACAAAAAAACAAAAGAGTGGATGTGTGATATTAAAGGAAGGGTAGATTAGATTTATAATAAGTTAGCAATTCAAGTTCTTATGATAAGCGACCAGCAGGTGATCCAAAATGTAACGCCTCGATTGTGTAACAGATACAGGAAAGAGACACAGTAACATGGCTGCCTGACATAACAGCTTGAAGAAAGTGTAGAAATGGCCCCCATTACTCTTGAAACGTAACTGTATAACACTGCTCAAGAATCTGCAAAAACAAATCTGTTAAGTCCAACACTTCTGGTTTAGTTTCAATGCCGATTTACTTCGCACGTGCAGAAAGGGCGAGCACAGTCATTGACATGGGCATACGCATGCACGGTGTCAAAATGAGCACAAATTTGACCGATATTCTCCTCAAACGTGAGCCGATACATGTATCAGCACTTGGACTGTATGGATTTGCAGGATATAAAAACATATTTTACTTTTCCACAAGAAATTGCCAATGGAAAAACCTGCTATTGTCATCGTTGATAAGGATGATGCATTAGGTGGTGATGTCACTCGGGCTCATTAGACAAAAAATTAGACAAAATTTACCTACAGTCTTTTAAAAGCCAGTAAACTGATCAAGATAAAGACGAGAGTAAAGACTAAACAGATTCTTGTCCTTTAGATTAATGTTCTTTCTAACTATCTAAGATCATCTTTCGAATGTCTAAATTGCACATTATCCACTGACAGTGATATTTTTTTGGGTTGCATCGATTCTAATATGTTGCTAAATCAAATCTACACAATGAATCCTGAGCTGCAGTGCCATAAATCAATGGTCACAGGTTTGTACCTATGCAAAATGTACAGACATGGATCATATACTTCGGATGCGGTATGTGTGTGCATATTCGGTGAGGGGCTAAACTGGATTTATACAGCTTGGAAAATTCTAAAAATATGAAATGATACAAAAAAAGAATTGTTCAAGATCATTAAATTCCCTTTATTCGTGCACCTTAAGTAATACCAACGTTTTTCCCATTTTCAATACGGCCAATGTCAGCAACATTGGATTTTTTTGCAATTGTATTTTACGAAAAACTAGAAAAAAAGGCATTAAAATGAACTTCTTGGCCTAAAAAGCCCTATAAGTGATGTATCACATGTCGTGTGTGTTGGAAACATGAGTAATATCGATTTTTGCCATTTGGCGACCACCTTTGATTCCAGGGTCTTATGGGTAACGCATATCTTTTTAAAAAAGAGGCATGGGGGCTATTTTTCTTACTTACACCTTGGAGATGGTAAAACATGTCACTCTGTGAGAGAGTGTTCTTCGTTGATCCCAACAGAAGGGACAAGAATTCTTTTTCTAGGAGATTCACAAGCTCGTTTCCTCGGATGGCCACAAGGTCTTTTAAAGTAACTGAACAAGGGGCAAAAACATTACCTTCGATTTTCTCAAAACAGCGTTTTTCGGGATAGCCCCCTTGTGCTTAAAAGCGGTCATTTCGGCTGAGAAATTTTTATATACAGATTTATTTAACCTGATGTGCAATGCTAAAACAACTCCAAGTATGGTATCTATCTATCTATCTATCTATCTATCTATCTATCTATCTATCTATCTATCTATTTACCTGTCTGTCTATCTATCTCATATGACTTTATGCAGTTGCGAACGCCTTAAAACACTTACCAAAACAATCTATCTATCTTTATATATAAATAGTGAACGTAAAGGATCGCGATTGAATGTAAAGAAAACAGACTGGACGTAAACAATATCGTTAAAAAGGTAAATCAGAGGCTGTGCTCTCTTAGGAAACTTAGATTCTAGGTCTTTCAATCTGAATCCATCCATCCTTCAGATATTCTACGCTGTCTTTTCTAAAAACCTTATTTTATTACTTCTCAGAAAATATTATTATAATACTTTTAAGGTTTTTAGAAAAGACAGTTTTCATGCAGGTAGGGATTGATATATGTTTGAGTTCGACTATATGTAATAAGTAATTGACTGGGTTATAGAGGGGGAAAATCCCTTTTTTTAAGACCTCTTCCTCACATAATGTAGACAAGATATAATATTAATATATGAGCTTTTTTTAAAAATTGTAGCACCTGAAAGCTCCACTAAATTTCAGCTAGATTAGTTCAAAACTCAAAGGTTGTTCGCATTTTTCTACCATACCCCCTTATGTGAAAAAAAGACAATTTCTGTTCATAAAATTGAACATGCAATCATCAAAAGAAAACAAAAAAACAAAAACAACAACAAACAAACAAAAGAAAACCAAAACTAAAAACAAGGTTACGAACGCAAACTGACCAACTGATTTCAAAGGGAACACTACCGTATGCTTTCTTCTGTACAAGAAAGTTTCGTCCAAGGAATAATTTGTTTCCTTCTTTGAAAAGTATCGTACAAATAAATCACGAACCCATGCGTGTCCCGGCGTTTGGGGTAAAAGGACTTTTCTACTTCCACGCTATAGATCTATGCGTGTTTCAGTTTTATAGCTTTAATGATTCAACTCTGTTGCACCCCCCCCCCCCCTCCCTTTCCTTACGGGTCGGCCACACACACACACACACACACACACACACACACACACACACACACACACACACACACACACACACACACACATACACACACAAAAACAAACAAACACAAACACACGTACACACACCACCACCAACAACAACAACAACAGTAGCAACAACACTGACAGTAACAACAACAACAACAGCAACAACAACAACGACCACCAAATGAGGCAAAATAGAAATTAATGGTTCGTCAGGACTCTCATTAATTAATTTCACAGATGAGGGCAAAATGTAAATTGCGAAACAAAGAGGCTACGAATTACACTCTCCGTTGGTACAAGGCAAAGAAGTTATGTACGATGTTCAAGGGTGGCTTCCCTTGTACAAGGTATATTGACAATGCCGGAAAGGATTTTACAGAAATTTGTATACAGAAATCTTTACACAAATTGATTGAAGGGTAATACAGAGCAGTGTGATAGTTGTACATTCATAGAAGAGGATGATTTTCTATTTATGTATTGCTTGCAAGATTCGAGCTGATTTTTTACGATACATAGACTACTAAACTAAAGAGTCTTGCGTGCTGTAAAAGGACCTGGCATGAAATGTATGTTTGTTTGGAATGTTGTCATGTCGAAACAGCGTCCCCCGAAACGGCGTGTCAACCCATGTTGCTCTGTTCCTTTCGATATTGCCACACTTTTTGGTATTTCATTGCAGTTATGTTTTATGGCTTTCATCATAATTTCATCTTGTAGTTTTGTTAGCAAGGTTACATGTCTTATATGCCATCCTTTCATGTCTTTGTTAGAAGGTGGACGGTTGGTCTTCTCCTTTACCGGGCTTTACTTTTACTTTCTACTTTTACACTCCCTTCTCCACCTCAATTTAAATTTAGGTCGGCTCTATTTCTCCGAACGCTCGGGAAAGTAAACTTGAACTCTATTTCTTCAAGCGGTTTCCATTCTCGAGATTTTTTGTTTATTTGCGAATGGAGTGGCCTGCGTGTGAGTGTGTGTGTATATATAATTATATGAGGGGAGGGGGGGCTGTTGGAGGGCATGGGGGTGTTTATGGATATTTTTGTGAATTAGTTTTTGCTTTAGGGGTGACTAAATGCAAAATAGGTTACTTCCAAAGTTGAGCAGTCTTGTTTCCCCGCAGTACCTTTTGTCAAGGCATTTTCAAATGAAGTATTTGTAGGCTTAATAGTCCAGGAACGTTGCCCCAACCACAATAATTGAAATATCTGAAAATTCAGACTAAAAGTCTCTAGCTCTAGAAATTGAATCCGATGCATAAACCAAAAAAAAATACTTCTTCCCAGTCCTCGCAGAATGGCAAAATAAAATATGACGCTGACGAACTCTCGCAAATAACCAAAAAATCTCGAGAACAGAAACCGTTAGGGGAAATAAAGGTCAAATTTATTTTCTCGAGCGTTCTGAGAAATTGTCACTTCGTTAATTTTAATATACTTTAAGCCCTTGGTCGCTTTTAAGGACAAGCGGCCTAACCCAGATATCGAGGGTTTCCAGAAATCTTGACCTTCGCCTAAAGTGGACATTGCCATACCTATTATAGGAGAAGTTTGGTTTCATTGGTTTGTATATATTTGTTTGGTATATAGAGAAAACTCTCCTTGTCTTCTAAAGAAACTGAATAAGGGGCAAAAATTTTACCTCCGATTTTCTCAAAACAACATTTTTCGGAATAGCCCCTTTGTGCTTTTAAAAGCGACCATATATAGCCAGCTCTATTCGGACTTGAATCCCAGTAGATTTTTTATCTATTTAAAGTCAGAATATGGGTTTTATCTATTCGGACTCGGGTCCGAAAAAGAAGGTTTTTTTATTCGGACTCGGCTTCTAAGTGAGTTAAATGTGAGTGTAAGAAGGAACCTTACCTGATATAACTGTCGTTGGGGGATTTTACGTAAAATCAGAATTAGAACTAGAATTTCCTACTATAGGACTGTGTAATTGTGTCGAAAGTCAAAAGACTGCACTCTCATTGCCCATTGATGGCAGTGTCTAAGTACAACTCAGGTTCTTTCCACCACCACTACAGCATCATCAGCACTTCCACCACCATGATATGACGTTTTCTCGAAACGTCATTTTTCTATAATTTTTTTAATAACTATCAGACCCTACACTTCAAACATTTATATTACGTCTTTGACAGGCTATCTCCACTCTAAAAATGACCATGGCTTTGTTTCCATTCATATAGAGCTTCTATCACAATGTGGGGGTGACTGACATTACAGTCCATTACAGCTCAGAAAGTATCTCACATAACTTCACTAAATTTTTTACGAAGCGAAACAATTAATCTTCTCAGATCTTTGCATACCAAGAGAATCTAAAAGTCCATTCATAAAAGTCAGTGCGAACTAAGATTCTGACACGTTTACTTTGATGTTAGCTTAAAGTGGGTAAAAAAAAAAAGTAATAGAAGGGGATTTGTTGCAAACACCTAAAACATATATGTCTAGACAAGCCTTTCATTGACCAGTTGCCGGGGAATGGGGAATGGCTATGATTGTGACTCGTCTCCTGTACCTCTGTTGACTTCCACACCCCAAAACACTTGTGCTTAACCCCTACCCCCGCTAAAAAAATCCACTCAGACACACGTACGAACCACCCAACCAACTTCTCTTGACCTTGGCACACATTTTAGAAACGTCATATCTTACACACGTGTCAACGACGCACGTGCTGGTGTAAAAAAAGGCTTCTGATTGGATGCATAATATAAGACGTACACAAAGGCTAGGCCAAGTGTGTAATACCCCCGGGGCGGTGCCACTGACTGAAGTCTCATTAGGTCATTCCCAAAGAGAGGACATTAACCTGTTCTTATGCACTGTAGAATTGTAAATGGGCTAATTTATCAATGTCATGCTCATAACTGTGCCTGAACTGCAACAGGGAACTGCTGCTTTTTCCTTCCTGATCTTTACTATCGGCATTAATCCTCTACTTCTTTTGTACGTTTGTCACACTCTTGTGACCCTCTATTTCCGGGGTGCATTGATAGTAGTTGAAGCAGAGTTTGTACTGTTGAAGCTAGAGAGGTGAGCAGAGTAAACCTGATTCCCTGTGAAGACTTCTCTGTAGACATCCACCTCTTGGTGCTCATGTGACCTTATGCAGTTGTGAGCGCCGTAAAATTTCTTCTGAAGCTAAAACTAAGTGTGTAATGTTCCATGGTGCTAGTGCAATCGATGGTCTCTTAAAATAGAGTAGATAAGGTTCGTTGCGACTTTGTTGATTCCCAGTTTGCTCATTTATATGTTCGTTGAATCCGAGTTATTTTGTTGAATAAAAGATCCGGGGAATCTGTCCCCATTTCGTTGAATCCGAGTTCGTTGAACCCGAGTTCCACTGAATTGCCGTCACCAATTTTTAAGTATAGAATGCTGCACAGGCCCTTTTCAAGATAGTGTGCTGTAGGGAAAAGAATCAAGATAAACTAAACACATTCTCTAGATGAGTTTCAGAGTCAAATCTTATTTTTAGTAGGTGCCCCCCACCCCATTTCCATTAGGTCTTTAGACAAATCGACAAATTATGACAGTTGCCCTTTGTGGGTAATATAATGGTTTGTCTTTATAGGAATATGCTCTGCAAAGTAAAAATTTGTTATTGAATTTAAGTTTTTCCTTCACCTTGCTGTCCTGATGGCTACCACGTCAGTTTTATTTCAACAATACAGTTTCTTATATTTGATTCATTTTTATCTCATAGAAGAGGCTCTTATTTACAGCATAGTTCTTTTGGTATGTATAGATCACACTACATACGCTCAAACTCAATTATTTTTTACAAGCATTCTCCATTTGTGTAATCAAGTTCAAGAGGACTAATTTTTGGTTTCAGTATATTAATGTGAGATAAATGTCATGTTCAATTTCATCTTTATGCTGCAGGAGTAATCAAAGAAGTAGAGCAGAATTCGGAAAAAGGTTCTAGGAGGAAGACTTTGTTTGGCTGAACAAGTCAGTTCTTCTGTGAGAACTGCATACAACTATGGCTGCAGCTTCCACTTCAAGCCCTCCAGCCCCAGACTCAGCAAGTCTGCCATCTCAGTCCTCCATGACCAATGGGTCAAATTACAGTCACAGCAATTCACAAAATACCAGCAAACGTGACAATCCGTATGATCCAGAAGAACCTGATATTGTTGCTGTTGAAAATGTTGACAGTTTGAAAATGTCAAGAGGAGTGAGACCGGAGGCAGAAATAAACTGGGAGATGCTGAATGAACAGTTTGTGTTTGATGAAATGGGGAACAAGATTAGATTCACAGATATCTTCAAAAAGCAAAAGACAATTGTGCTGTTTGTGAGGGTAAGTTCTACATGACACCATATCAAAAGATTAACCTTTGGTCTTGGATACTTTTGATTTAATTATGTTATTCAAGACAGAAATGTGTTTGCATTCTATTTATTCTAGATATAATATGATCATTTGCTTACATTCTGTCTTGTTAACATTCTCATTTCAGCCTTAATTAAAAGAAACTATTATGTCAATTCTTATCGAGAATCCTAAAATAGGACCATCTCTTGTTCATTCAGTCAAGTATTGAGTTGGGGCAGAAAGTTAAGCTGGTCGTGGGCACCGTAAAACGTATTTCAGATAGGACAACAGTTGACTTCTGCTGCGTGTACATGAAAGTCATGTACAGTAGAATGTGTCAAGCACTTCTTTGTTGAAATAGATACAGTCAACTCCACTTTTGTTGAACTCACTTGAGTTTATCTTCAGTTAGGGTGATCTTTAACTCTGGTCTCAGCACTTCTTCTTCTTTAAACATTTGTTAAAAATCAAACAGTTATCATGTTGAGTTCAACACGCTTGAGTTTCCCCAAGCTACAAGTATGCAACAGTTGTATTGATTTGAAATTCTTTTTGCGGGTGTATCTTCGGAGGTTTCCAATAAGTTTTGAAACGTGATACTTAACGTAGAAAAAAAAACTGTTTGCCTCGAGCCGATCAACATTGATAGGCCATAATACAGGGCCTACCTCCTCAATGAAATGGTGAGTGGAGTGCAAGAGCGTGTGTGTGTGGCGTCACGATGCAATTTTTAGTGTTGCTTCCCCTCCCATCTAGGCTCATGGCCAAAGGGTTGTACACTACAAGGAAATGAGTAATACAGTAAAACCTCATTATAATTTATAAACATCCTCGGCTCAAAACATACTTTGGACTGTAACTCAGTGCAACATTCACTTTCTGAAGTCCTGAGTCCCAGTTAGAACCTTTAATCTTCAAAAGCTGTCTAAAACGTACCTGTTTTTCAGTAATAGTGTACAAGGGATTTTAGTGGTCCAGCGTTTGTTTTTAACAGACATCGGTGGCCTACTTAGTGAGAATAAAGGATATGGCAGAAAGCAAACTTTTATCCTACTCAAGAATGCAATGTAATCTGCTGCAGTGAGAGGGCGAGTTTGTTTTAGGTTTTTTTCAGAGGCACATCATGTTAGTACACATGTGTTATTATTTTTGCCGTGAGTGAATGCTTGCAACCACCCCCCCCCCCCCATCTCTCTTTCTGTCTGTCTGTCTGTCTGTCTGTCTGTCTGTCTGTCTGTCTGTCTGTCAGTCTGTCTCTCTCTCTCTTTCTGTTTCTCTCTCTCTTTCTGTCTGTCTGTCTCTCTTTCTCTCACTCTCTCTCTCTTTCTCTCACACACACACAAACACATACGCATGAGCACGCGTTGATTTATCAAGTGAATAAATATTGCTCAGTAACTCTTCCTGTTGCCACCATTTTTACCGCAGTACTAACTTTAAAGTAAGCAGGGGAAAAAATTATGCTATATCCCTTTTGATTTTGTTGTCTTGACGGTTAAGATAAGACGTTGAAGACGTTGAACTTCAGATTTGTTTGTTCACTCTCTCGACCTCATCAACTCATCCATAGTCAACTATATTTAGTTCTTTGGTTTTTCCCTTTGACATCGTCATTGAGGTAAAGAGAACTGCCTGTATTTTCTGCTTAGGAAATTTAGTTGCCTAGAGAGCCATTCCCACTGAAAATAGGTTCCACTTTGGCACAGAAAGGACAAAATAAGCATGGTTTAGGAAATTGAATCTGGTATGATCAAATTTGTCTCCCTTCAAACAAATATATAATATCAATTGCAGTGACCATGGCACTAGCTTAACAAATACACACTAGCTTTACTCTTTGAAGACGAAGCGGACACATACATCCGATCAGCAGCAGCAGCCCAAAGCTTATAATGCTGCACATTTCCAACCTTTATACACAAGAAACACGAATTTGCATTTCGTAGCACGCACATTATTGGCTGCCTTTTTAAGTTTAAGGTAAAGAACACAAAATTGAAATATCTGAATGAATTAGGAAGTTATGGATTTTGTTTTTTAAGTATCCCAAAATAACGCGTCTTCAGCGGTGAAAAATTGGGCGTCGTCAATGAGTTAACAATTAATAAAGTCCAAACCACAAAGGAAAACTACAAGGATGTCTCATCTCCTGGTTTCATTTATTAGCAAAATGATACTGCGTAACATCAGTGTTATTGAATGAGTCAAGGTAGGCTTACACAATACATAAACAACCTACAGTACACGGACAATACAGTCTTGACAGCTGATTCTGAGTCCAATCTCCAGGAGATTCTTACTAGAGGGACAGAGAAAAGTGAAGAGAAGGTGCTATAACTCAACTGAATGAACACCAAGATATGGAGTGCATAGTGATCTAAAAAAGTACAGACATCCCAGAACACAACATCGCTCGTGTAAGAAGGAAAGAATGAAACAAGTCTACTGTTTTAAATAAATACCTTGGTTGCACAATATGATACGAGATAATAATAATGATAATGATGATGATGATAATAATAATAGTGATAAAAATAATTGTAAATCTCATGGACAAAGGGGAATAAAGAAATATATGGCGAGAAGTGGTCTAAATGGCAGGTTGTGAAAAATCTTATAATCAGAACCATGAGAAAGAAACAGCTGAGTTTCTTTGGCCACATATTTATAAATCCAAATGGATTTGAGAAACTGATGCTGTGTGGAAAATAACGGGAAGGAATAAAAGAGAAAAACAAAGAACAATATTCACAAATATCCTCAACAATTTTTTAGCAGACAACACAAGGAGAAAAACCTACTGCTGGTCAGGAAGGTTGACATTAGGAAGGAGTGGGATATCATGACCATCAGAGCCTGCTTCAGTCCTGATACCTGAAGAAGATGAAGGAAACCATGGCACTGGAGATAAACATTAATTAATTGTTCCAACACACTATGTTTTCTTTGTCCCTTTATGAACTGGTGGTAAGATATTCATCAAATAGACTGGCGTCTGTGGTGTAGCATTTTGGCACTTTGCTGTTGCGCGCAGAAGACTCGAGTTCAATTTACAATTTATGAGCATTTTTTAATCGAGTATTTCGATCTTTCTGTTGGGATGATGTATGATTATGTATCCCTCTCAGCCAGGGTGGCCCTGACAAGTAGAAAGAATAGTGACTTCCCTCTCAAATAACTTTGCTTCTGATCTATTCCTTTAAAAAAAAAACGACCTATCTGTATATGTATATATATATGTAGATAGAGAGAGAGAGGTTTTTATTTGTATCAATATAATACTACCTCCTCTTTGAGAATTGTAGATGCAAGTGTATTTTGTGCAATTTTAGATACATCCTCATAATTTTTTAATTTATTTTCCCAGCACTTCTTAGACTTCATTGCAAAAGAATATGTTGAAGGTAAGTACCATTGTGGGAAAGTTTTTGTGTGCTACTTCTTGCCTGGCTTCACTTTTTCACCAATTTTGTGCCTTTTAGATGCCATGCTCCATCAGCTTGCTTGGGGTTACTTGGCCCAGAATCAACTTTGCTGTTGTACGTTAAGAAATTGGATTTTCGTCAAGTATTGAAACGGTATAACTTACTCCCCATCCCACACAGCAAACCATTATGCTGATGTACTGAAAGCTCAATGTTTTCTAAATGTATTCTTTGTTGGAGTAGTTATTTTCTATGCCTTAGTTTTTGTTCTGGACACATGTGTTGTAGAGTATCCGATTTGTCTTTTTTTATAGTCACATTCACCTAAATACATGATCGTTTATTTAGTATCGGCATAATTGATCTCTTCAAAACAAATTGTTTATTTAAAATCGGCATAAGTGATCTCGTCAAAACGATTGTTTATTTAATATCAACTTGGTTGCTCTTTTCAAAACCTGTATTGAACTGATTGCGAAATCATGTTGTTTTCCATGAAAAGTTTTGAATCTGCACAGGTAATAATTATAGTAATAGTAAAGTTATATAATAGAAGAAAAATGCACACCTGCATTTTTGACAAAATAGGCTTGGTGCTGGCTCTGTTTCACCATGGAATGCACAAGAGAAATACACTTGGTGTTTGTTCATGAATTTTACCATGTCTTTGGCAGCCTGTATACAACTGAGAAAGATTTACTGCAATTAAAAACAAAAAAACGGTTCAAGTACATGGGCAGAGGTATGCTTCTTGTGCATGGGATATTTTTTAAAAACTGCTGTCTCCTGCATGTGACAGCAAATCCCCTAACAGCTATACCACAGACACCTGTGAAGTTATCCTTGAAAACACCAAAAAATTACATACATTCATAAGCAAATGCATTTTAAAAAGCAACAAAAGAAAAGGTTTTGTTTTCTAAAAGACAGGAAAACATTAAAAACGTCTTCTATGTTACATTTATGCCTTGACTCAAATTCTATGTCTGGATTGGCCTGTGTTATTATGAATTTTGCATTTTTCAGAGCTGCTATTGTCAAACGGCAAATCTAGGTAGGACGTGTTAGAATTTCATCTCTTACTCAGAAAGTTATTTTAACTGCTTTCTTTAAGCAGTGTGTGATGCCATATAAGCAGACAAGAGTTTAGATTGTCCATAAAAACATTGCTTGATGTCAGAATCTACTGAGGAACTCCATACCAATAGAGCCAAGGTTTGGACACTGCAAGTGCTGAAGATAACCAATATTGTTGGGGTTAGGTTTCAGTCAAAATGATAGCATAGATTTCAAAGCAGGAGGTTTGTTGGGGGTCCACCTTTGACACCAGGAAAGGGAATAATTTTCCTTTCTTGGCTAAAAGTATGCTTCACACAGAAAGGCAAATTGTGGAGTAAGCATCTTTACTAAATTCTAGAAAAAAACACAGAAAAGCAATGAGAGCTATGTTCATGAATCACTTTCGAAGCTTGAATGTCCCTGGAGACTGTAAATATAAATTTTTGGTGTTATTGATCAACGTTTTTCAGTAATATCTAACTAGAAATTTGTTTTCAATGACATAGAAGATGTTGAGCCTCAAAGGGAGAAATTTATTTTAAAATTGCCTAACAAGCGGAAAAATGTCATTTTCTTCTAATTCATTATAAATTTAGACGAACACCTGATTTCACCACGGTGCCCCACATTTTTCTTTGTATATAATATCAATATTATATCAACATTATTATAATATGACTATCCACTTTATTTTTAGCACTGATATTTTGTAAATACTCCACGTTCCAATCATGATTTAATGGATAGGATGCATTAGTCAATATCAGTAATCGGTTTGAAGAGACATGAACTTGTTATATCCTTAGATGATTTCTTTAGGCAAAATTATGAAACACACATACAACCTCATGTCCATTATGCTTTCATTGAACAGATGTGGCCATCATTCCTCTGGAGTATCTTCAGGTGAGCCTCACAGAATCATGAGTGAACAGCTGAATATATATATATCATATATGAGGGGCACAATGATGTTTTTTTTGCAATTCCAAGAAAATTGAAAAACAAACTTTAAAGAATTATAACTCTTTTTCTGCTACAATGATCTCCCCCTGCTTACATTGACTTGAAGTATGACCATTTGTGTTGACAATGAGAAATTTTCACAGTCCTTGTGTTATGGGTATTTCAGTGAGAGCAAAATAGAAAAGGTATGTAGCAAACTGACGGCGCTGGTTTTTTCCTTGTCAGCTGTTGGCAAGGTCTCCATCTTCTAGGAAGTCAATAAATCGTGAGCGTCTTTACTCATATGTGAATACAAACAAAACTAAATGATTCAAACAAGAAAATTGCACACCATTTTGTTATATTTACTTTGTTGTTTTTTAAAATAATTTTATTTAATACTCATTTTTGTATGACGACTCATCGCTCTAGTGTGATGGAAGTTTGTCTTCCAGCATGGTGCAATTCAGAGAAAAGCTGATGAGCCAGAACACCTTTAAGACATTCATGTCTGCATATTTGGCAGCTTTGATAGTCAACGGGCTCTTATAGAGGGGTTTCAGGGGCTGGAGTCTTGCAGCGCACTTCTTTTCCACCGGCGGCATAATGATTGCGGTGTCTAACGGACCATTCCAGCTCTCTCTATACTGCATGAGCTGTGGATGGGCCTGTGAGATGTAAATTTCAAGCAGAGGTCGAGTAGGTATAAGGCAGGAGACACAGTAGTATGGTTTAATCTTTTCTGACGCATTCTGGAATACGGATTATGTCATCCCCACTATCTGGAACAACGAGGGTTTCCGAAGGGCTGTCTTGAATTTGCTCTACCCAACTGGCTGGCATATCTACAGAGACCTTCTCATTCACCCTATCGCACTCCATGTAGCTGTGGCCTCTCACTGGAAACAAGATTTTCACTTTTCCGGACCTTTCCTGGTGAACAACAACACGATTTGGTAGAGAAACCAGATTGCCATCCAGTTCTTGTCTGCACGAATCACTTCAACCGGCAGAATGTGTAGAAAGTAATGTAGCAGCATGCTGGCCACATCATCTCTACCCTTTTTGCTGACTGTCTCGTACCAGTGCAGGTGTACTATTTCATCACTTACAAGATTTTAAAGGAAAAGAGAGATATCTGGCAACAATTGTACAAATCGTTTGCTGGGATGTGTTGGGCAGCCCAAGTTCTTCGAAAAAATCAAAGGTTAGCTCAACATGGGTGCTCGATGAATGATTTCCCCATTTAGCAGGGCATATATATATAAGACCAATGCAGGGTTTCAGCACGGTGCGATGTCGTGTCCTTGGGAAAGGCACTCTACATGGATTTTTTTATTTGGCTCGGTCTTTAGGTGGTTCAGAATCATTTTGTTAATATTATATATGTCTATATAATATATATATAGTGGTTCAGAATCATTTAAAGTTAATATTATATGTATACATGTCTCTCTCTCTCTATATATATATATATATATATATATATATATATAAATATATGTGTGTGTGTGTGACGTTGTAGTGGCATCAGGCGCTGGTCAATATTTTTGGGCATATGGGGTTATTGTTGTCATCTTAAAACCTGTTTATTTGTCTTCCTGTTGGTGAAAAAATATCCATCTATGTTGAATACTTTACTTTTACTTTTTCAACCTCTGTTGCCGTTAAACGTCGAAGGGAGATGCAGTTTTCTATGGTAGGCCAACTCCGCTGCTCTTTCAGTTGTGATATTATGTTTTTTCAGGGTTTCCTTGACACCTTTGATCCTTCTTTTGCGCTGTCTTTCTCTTCCTTTATAGCCTGAGTGCTTGGTGTTGTAGGCTCTTGGGGCTGGCTGGCCAGATGACATACATAAAAGGTGGCCAAACCGTTTTGTTCTCTATCTTTCTATGTAATGCAGGTAGGACTCAATGCCAATATCTGCTCTTACTTATTCATTTCTCTGCCTGTCTCGTCTTGTATCTATGTTGAATAGAAGTTAAAATATTTGCGATTGAAGAAGATCAGGGTCGCTGGTTTAAGAGGTAAAATAAGCGAGAAAATCTCTGCCAAAGTTTGATAACTGCCAATGCCTGACAGTCCTTGGAAATTGAAAATTTACATTTTTTGTGCTTTTAATCAATGTTTTTCTGTGAAAGCCACATAAAAATGGGATTTTAAAAGGACATAAAAGGTGTTGAGCCAAAAAAAGAAAATAAGAAAAAAATTGCCCATTTCATTGATTTCATTATTTTGACAAGCGCCTGATTTCACCACGATTCCTCACATATAGTTTTAGATATATATGAATTTTTTTATTGTTTCTTTGTTTGATTTTGGAGGTCATACGTGTAACTTTTTTCATTTTGTAATCAACATCTGGATCTCATAGTGGCAGAAAGAGCAAGCAGGTTATGTAGTGAAAGTGACCAAGTATAGAGGTTTATTTTCCAATTTCTTGCCCTTGATGCTGGTGTTGAAGTAATAGTGGCGCTGTACCAGTTTCACTATGCGCTCTGGATGGGGGGAGGGGGGGGGGGGTTGTCTTTAAAAACCAATACTAGTGAGGGGCTGTGAATAAATTTGTTGCCTTGACATTCTTGAATTTCCAGATTCCTCATTTGAAATTTTATAGGCCTCTTTCTATTCCAGAATGCAGATGTGCGACTGGTTGTGATAGGACCTGCCCCTCATAACTACATTAAGGTGAGCATGTGTGGGGTACATATGCTCTGTGGTGGTGGTGGGGGGGGGGGGTTTCTCCTTTTCTCTCAAAGTACATGACATTATAATATTTCTCTGTTGAAATGAAAGTCAGTGTACGTTGTAAGTTTTACCAAGTGAAAAGCTTTATGGTGGCTTAAGTCTAGCCACTTGTTTATCATGAAAAACACATGATTTAAAAGGATGTAACAGGCTCTTTTTTTTAAACTTGTTTCAGAATTATGAAATGGAAGTGTGATTTGCCTCTATAGAAAATTGTGATTTGACATGGGTAAATTATGTTTATGTTACCTTACACCTTGTCTCTCAGGCCTTCAAGGAACTGACAAAACTTCAGTATACGTTATATGTAGACCCTGAACGTCTTGTGTACAAGGCTATGGGCTGTAAGGAGACGATAGCACCTGGAGGTCTGGCAAGTAAGTGTTGCATTTCTTTTTATTTATATGTCTAAATTTGTCTTACTTTTGCCTCACAGAAGTGACTTTTTGAGGGGGGGTTTTTAGAATACATGGATTACACATAATGTGGGAAAGCTTTCATTATACAGTGGTCCATGGCTTTTACAGGATGGCAAGGACCAACATAATATTGTTATTATAGCGTAATCCTATTATTGTTGGTGATCATGTTTACGTGCACTATAACTTAAGATTAACAAATGAGATCATTTTTATTATTTAGATTACCCACTACCAATCTATCCTTTATTTCTCCTTATTTTCCAGTGATATTTTTTCTCCTTATAACACTGGTCATCGCATGTTTTGCAGCATGAGATTCAAGACTTGATTTAACGGGAGGAGCGACCCTCAGTTTTGCTGATTTTGGGTTGAGGAATGCAAATTGATATGTTGGCTGAATTTTGAAGATCAACCAGTTCTTTGTCTAAAAATAGCAAGGAGACAATTGAGAAAGTCTTTATTTTCGTCGTACTTTGCCTTTGAAAACATGAGGGTGGGTCAAAGTATAGTGAATTTTCACAATAATTGTCGTTTTTCTCAAAATGTAATTTTTTTTTGCAGTTTTTCTGCTGCCTTCTTTTTCTTTACTGCATCAACACACTCCCCAGAGAGCCAGATCTTGTTCTTTTGGGGTTTTGGAGATGTTTTTGTGTGTGCAGCCGATATTTTCACGACCTGTCGTGAAAAAAAATTGTACTTTCGTTTTTATGACATGTGAAAAAAAAAGGCAATGCGTGTTTTCACGACATGCCAAAGACCACAGAGGTCTAGGCCTATTAGCTAAAATACAAATTTTTTGGGGGTAGATCTAGATCTAGTTTCCGATTTTTGACCTGTTCTTCCGCCATTCCGATTAAGGTGTCAAAACTACCGGATTTGCGATGGGTGCCAAGAGTGATTCCAACTTTCCTTTCGAAACTCGTAACCTACTTCCCGAAATTCTGTACTTGCCGCATCATCATCTATGCCGCAACATGTGTTTTAAAAAACTTGAGAGAGAGAGAGAGCACTTGCCTTTCTAGCTTCTTGGACGGTAGATCTGGAATCTCAATATGTTGTAGTTGTAGGCCTATTTGCGCGCTCCCGACCATTGTCCCAAAACTTTTTACGAAAAGCCCTCTATGCGTTGTGAAATCTTCAACCCACAACTCAGGTGTCAAAAGATGCTGGAATGAATAATACTTCTGGAGGTTTCAGCCTGTAGTTTTTATTTTATCTCGTTGTAAAAATTGCTTTGTTTTCAAAAGCAAATATTTCCAGTTCTACAGCATCAATTTTCACACGAAGACCACCATTTTATTTTGAAGATCTTTCTTTTCCTTTAAAAGATGTAGTCTTGGCAGATGTGGCAGTGTGATTCACTAAACTGTGAGTTGTTTAGATCCATCAAAATGCAAGGCTTGACGGCTGATCACAACAGTCTACTCTAAGGTATCGAATAAGCACACC